TTTAATCCACATATACTCTCCTTCTTTTATTTTAACAAACACTACCTCCACTTTTACTTCTCCCCAACATTTTTTCATCACCTGATCCAAGGCTATAGAACACAGGAGAGTCAAATAGATCTCTGTTCAAATCCCAAGCAAGTTTGTATACTTGCTAGCTGTATGATGTGTGCAATCACTTCATCTTTCATAGCCTGTTTTTCCAGTTATAAAATGGGGATAATTAGTAGTAGCTTCTCATTGCTGTGAGAGGAGCACATAGTCAAATGCTTAGCCCTTTGCCTGGCATTAGTAAGTACTCAATAATGGTGTCTGTCCCTGTTATTACTATATAACCAGTGAAGCCAGCTGAAGCTCCATTTGTGGAATTAAGTTCAGAGGGCTGAAATGGGCTGACCAAGGTCACACAATTGAGTCAAGAAGGGATCCTAGATTTCCTGATTCCAGAAGCCTTTGCCAACCAACTTCTATACAAACTACATCATTGCCCAGTGATCTAGAAATCTAGGTATCTAATCAATCACATTCAAGTACCATAGCTGATGATTTAATAAGCACTCATCATGTGCTAGAAACTGTGCAGGCTATATGAAAGCTTTAAGGCATCTGTAGGTCAGTGTACAAATGTCATCTCCTTGTTTTAAGGCAGACAAAAACACAATTACCAAAAAAAGTCTGGAACTGCAGCTTGTGTTGCCCAATAGTGACAATATTTCTTGTCCACATTTGTTTTAAGAATGTAGATGAAAGTAATACCGATGTTCAGGCAGCCTTATTCCTGGCTTTAGGAAGGCCTCTTTGGCTGGGAATGAGATGGAAAGGGTCCTACGGACTAAAACGGGGTCTGGCCAAGGACAGCTGTGGAAAGAAGATAGGGATTGCCAGTGGGCTAAAAATAAGCCCCCGTCATTACTCCAAAGAAAGACAGTTATTGTCTACAAGGTGGGCTTCTTGCTGCACCAGGGCCTGTCCTTCCACTGACTGTGCAAGCAAAGAAACCATGGAGCACCAGGAAGCACACTTTATCTTGAAGCATGAATCACCCCCTTAGAAGTCCAGAGAAGAATCCTCTCTTTGTGGCCCTTCAATCTACTTCTTGGCTGGCATCCCTAGCTCCTCAGGGCTGGTATCATGGCCTTATGAAAACTCAGGGTGAGTGACCTTTTTGATGGAAACAGACCATTCCAGAAACTCATGTGATAGGGTGTCTCTCAAAAACTGAAAGGAAACAATGAATGAATGAATCAGCCAGAGGGCATTCATCATTCAAGTCTAATTGCAGAAGCAGTCAGAAATAGCTAATCCAGTGTGCTCTGAACCTGGGCACTCTGAAGTGAATGGCAGAAAGTGCTCTTTCTGATGAGCCCCCTGATCTATTAGGTCTCCCTACGTTAAGTTAGGTGTTGATAAAACAAGTCTTCCTTTTTTTTTTTTTATTCCACCATGCTTCTAGAGGATGGGGCAGCAGGAAGGAGCAAGCCAAGGATCCAAGTTCTGCCCAACCAGACTGTTTGCCCTAATTTCAAGGATGCTGTCTTTCTACAATACCAGCCACACTGGGAGCCAAGAGCCCTCAAAGGATATCACACTCCCTATTGGGGACCAGGCAGAATAAAGGATAACAGGGAGCTGGATGGTTGGTAACAGGAATTGGCAATAACTTTGGTTCCTCCTCAAATTGCCAAACTGGACTGTTACCAACCCCAAAGGCAGAAGCACCAACATCCGTGAGGAGTGGAAGTTACCTTTCAGAACCATCCCTTGAAGAAGCAGGGATCCAACAGCACTGTGTGACCTGGACCCCACTCAATTTATATACAGGGGAACTGGTGTTAAAAGGAACACTGAAGACAGCCTTAGGTGTCCACACCAGCAAGTTGGATGTGAGCACAGGGAAGGGTGCAGGCCCTCCTTTTCATCTGGGAATGTGACAGATAATGTATTAAGCCTCAGTTCTACCTATGGATATGAATCGCAAAGCGGAAAACCACCTCCTTTCCCTGAATCACAGCAGCACGGGGAATCCCACAGCACATAGTCTGAGGCAGATGTGCACTGGACAGCGAACACGCAGAGACCTACATCCTACAGTTTCCTTTATTGCGTAATGAAGAAGTATAACCCGTGGGTCTCCTCCAGTACTTGAATCTAAACACAGCCCCAGAAAGGAAAACTTCCCCAACACAGACATTCCCGCACACTGCTGCTAGTGTGTGAATATACAATGTGACTGAGTTCCCCTCAAGGGAAACTGTGACCAAAAGTGCCGCCTCCTAGCCCTTTCCCAGGAATCAGCTTGCACTTCACTTTTTAAATACAAAACCTCTGCTTTCTGAGGGGTGGTGGTGGTGGAGAAAAGCCGAAGACCTAGCTAGAGAGGCTGAATTTCTTTCTGCTCAGGACATCGGAAACCCCTCAGATGCTCCCTCCTTAGCCAGGTGTTGCCACAAAGGGAGCTAAGGGTTTGTTGCCAAGTCAGAAATGATCCACCCCTTAAAAGGAATGTTCCTGAAAAAAAAACAAAAAACCCAAACCACTTTGTCTGTAAATCGGGGGTTGGAGGAGGAGGGAGCAGGAAAGTAAAAGGATAGAAATTTGAAAACAGTCAGGCTGTACCAGGGTTAGATTTCCCTTCCCTCAAGGACAGCCAGATCTGATATGGCTGCTGCTAAGACCAAGCAGCTTCACTTTACTGTCCTTACCCAGGTCTCAATTTATAACATCAGAATCCTCAACATCACCAGAGACCCTCCTCAGAGCTTGGAGGAGCTTCTCACTGTAGTCCAGGATGGACATCGTCTTCCAGGAAAAACCCTACTACAAGGAGCTCCAAGACAACTGCAGGGGCTGCCCAAAAACCACTGGCTGCCCGTGTGCTCTAGCAAGTGTCTTTCTGATTAAAAACTACACTTTTTAAATCAACACTGAGTTTTCCCTATCACAAATTGAGCCCTATCCTGCAAAATGACACCTTTCCCTTAGAAACAATATGTAAATCTGATACAAGGGAAATAAACACAGTATAAGGCTCCCCAACTCATTTAACATCTTTCTAAAGCTCTTAAACCACTTTATAAAGGTAAAAATTCATACCTCATCACTTTAAAAGAGGGAGTCAGGGGCCTGTTGTTTTCCCATTCTGTAGTCAGTATATATGAGCAACAGCCCCTTCTCTCACTGTGGGGCGTGCAGCTGTTAGGCCTCCTTATCACTCTCCTGCTCTGAGCCGATAGCTGGGATGAACCTAAGGTGGTGCTGAGTGATAACTGGGAAAGGTCCCTAGAAGTGGGCTGGTGGTGATCTCTGGTCCACCACCCACATCTGACTTCAGCCACAAGTTCCAGGGCCACAGATCTACAGCTTGGGGGACCTCTTTTTCTCCTGCCATCCCATACTAGTCCTGGAACTCTCTCAGTTCAGTGCCTTTAGTGGCCAAAGTCAACACTAAGTCAGCTTGTCTTTTCCTCCAAGGACCAGCCAGCCCCCATTGTCTTCCCAGTTACCCATCTCTGTCCCCAAATACAAAGCCTTGGGGAGGAAGGCCAAGCCTCCTCTTAGCCCACCTCAGCCTCCATGCCTCTAGGGCAAGGTGTCGTGGCAGGTCCACCCATGAACCAACCACTAGCTTATTAGCTCATTCACCAGAGCAGCAAGAAAGTCACCCAGTAGTCCTGCCCCGCCCCCACCCCACTTCTGTCTCCACAGAGGGGAACCTAGCTCTCAAAGAGGAAGAAAGGCAATGGGCAGTCCTGCCACAGGATGGAAGCTGGTGATCACATGCAAGCTGGCTTGGAGCTGGAGGCACCTCCTGGAGATACAAGGTCTGGGACCCGGGACCTGGAACCTGGCCTATTTATTTTATAGAGAGAAAGACATTGTACCACCCCCAGGGCAGGCCATTCAGCCCTCTCCTTGACCCCTCTTCCTGGTTAAGACAAAGAGGCCTACTGATGACCCAAGTTTGAAGGCCAGAGCAACAGCTCATTTGTTACTAGGCTCTGAGAACACACACAGACTGGGGAGCAGAGCCCCCAAGGTTACCCTAATACAGCTCCTGGGGGGGTCCTGCTTTTTTCTTCCTGGGAGGGCTTGCAGCAGCATCAGAACAGCCTGCCGCCCTGAGCTCTGTACCTAAGGCAGTGAAACACACCCCCAAGCAAACTGTGGGGAGAGACAGTCCTGGGAAGGAAGGGAACAGGTCAGCTTCCTACTGGGCATAGAAAGGAAGACACCGGGGAAAGCAGCCAACGTCTGTCTGCCATTGCCCTGAAGGGGGCTGTACTGGTCCCCATCCCAGCCCTGCACCTCCCACAGAGGATGAGAGATCAGGGAGGACAGATGGAGAGCTGGCAGCCAGGCAGCTGGGCTGCGCCCCAAGGCACGGACCAGGGAGGGGCGGGCACCTAGACGTGCGGGTCCCCTATCACCCAAATTTTCAATGCAAGTTGGGAGAAGGCTGCAGGGTCATCGTGGCAGTTCTCTCCCCTTCAGGATAAGTCCTCAGCCTCAAACTCAAGAGGGTCCGTGGCTCCCACTCTCAAGCGTTGGCTCCCTAGCTTCCACCCTGACTGGCTCCCCACTCCACTTTCCCAGGGTGGCCTCAGGGGTGCTCCGCACCCGCCAGGAGCAAGGGGGTTGTCAGTCTTCCGCTGCAGAGATCCCCTTCCCCGCGCATCTCTCGGATAGCCCTTTGTTTCAGGCGGGTAAAGTTGCCAACATGCACCCCTTCCTCAACACGCCCCCTGCGCGCCCACCCACCGCACGGAATCCAAGCCCGGAGCACCGTCTAATCCGCCGCTAGCTCTCGAGCCGGGGCAGCCGCTTCGAAACCGAAAGCAAAGAGGAAGAGGGATCGGGCAGCGCTCGGTCTTCCCCGGTCGCAGGGTCTTCCCCATCACCGCACCATAGCCCGCGCCCCCCGCACCCGGCGCTGCCAGCTTGGCGCGGCCACCTCTCCGGGCGACGGAAAGGCCTCTGTGCGGGCACCGGGGGGCACCTACCGGTGCGGGGCCGGGACCGAGGCCGCGGGCAGGGGCAGGGCAGGGCCGGTAGCCTGCCGGGTGCAGGTGCGGCCAGGAGCGCCGTCTCCCGGACTGGGTCCCGCTCCTCCGGCGCCGGGACTCGGGGCGCCCTCCTGCGCCGCCTGCTCCCCGCCCCCACGCCCTGCGCTCCGGCTCCCCCCGCGCCGAGTTGCCGGCCGTGCCTCCCCCGCGCCGCCTGCCCTCCCGCGGCGCGCCTAGGCCCGCAGTGTGTGTAGGCGCCCGCCGCGGCGGCGCGGGGGTCGGCGGGCTGCAGCCGCCGCTGCCCGGGCCGAACGGAGCCCCCGGCGGCGGCGGCAGCGGCGGCGGCGGCACTCACCCATAGCACGGATGCTGTGCAAACTGCACATGCTCGCGTCTGACAGGCGCTCTGCCTCCGGCCGCACTTAACTCCTTGCTTGCCCGCTCGCCCGCCGGCCTGCCAGGTCCGCTGCCCGGCTGACCCCACCGCTGCCCGCAGTCCGGGGTCGGCCACGCCCCAGGCGCCTGGAAGCGCGTCCTGGGCCCAGGCCGTGGCGCAGGTGGCTGCAGTTAAGAGCTCCTCGGCCCTCCTGGCTCCTGACACCCCGCCTGCATTTGAGGTGTCTGCAGGAGCCCCGGGAAGACTAACCGATCTTGCAGGAGTTGTGGAGACTGCGTGTACGGCATACACTGTGGGTATCACACGTGACCCTGAAGGCTCTCTGAGGACTGGTTGTGGTATGGTAGGCCCACTATGTGCCAGCATTGTGTTCCTTGCAGTCCATTCATTGAAATAATACTGCAAGGTCGTTTTTATTATCCCCATTTTCAAGATGGACAAACTGAGGCCTATGGAAATTTGCCTAAGGCAGGGCCTGAACCTCTAAGGCCATGCAACGATTTAATAGATGTTCTTTCCGAGGTCAATCTACACTCTTCTTTTGAAAGGTGGAAAATAATGAACATCATCCAGAAAGCCTGGAGATTCTGAAATGCAGAATGTGGGAAATCGGTGACTGAGGGCCCTGGCTTGAGACAGACCCCTCAGATGGGTCCTAAGTCCCACAGCAAGGCTGAGCAGGCAGTGGGAGTGTAACCCAACCCCCACCCACTGCGCCAACCTTGGGTCCTGTCACTGGATGCGGCTGCCAAGAGGAAAGGACATTTTTTAAAAATGTAAATGTCCCCCTGGGGGTGTCCCTTTATGAATGATCCGTCCAGAGGGGGCGCCTCTTTCCAGTTCTCACACAGACCCTAAGCTGCCTAGGCCTGATCTGAGAGGCCTGATGGCTGCTTCTGTCCTAGCCCTCTTCCTGTTTTCATCACCTGCTACAGTGAAGAAGAGCTCTCAGAGGTCCAAAGCAGCATAGAGAAAAGGAACCTGAGGTTCATATATCCGGTCTTGCCCTCCTCTGGGTGAAAAGCTGATCTGTTTTCCTACTGTGGGAACCTAATCCCATCCTGTATTCCCCTAATTGCCTGATGGGGCCATGGGTCTTCCATCAACCTCCTGTCCCTGCCCAGGATATTCAAAGACTGACAAATGGACATCCCAAACTAGGGACAGGCAATGTGGACAAGGAGTTCTAAGCACATCCCATACATACCCTGTCTTTGGGCAGGCTGAATCATTCTTTACAGAAGGAAAGCTCTGGGGTTTGAGGGGGCAGAAGGAGTTATGTTGGGTTTCTCAGACCAGTATAGGAAGTACACAGCCATATGAGGCCAGTGGCAAGAGCTCCTGCCTTCCTTGAGTTAGCTTCCTCCCCTATAAGAGAGTATCACCTACTTCATAAGGATATTGTGATGACGCAAAGACATAATGCGTGTAAAGTCCTGAGTACACAGTGGGCCTTTGCTAACAGGAAAATATTTTTTGCTGGGTTTAAGACAGGGAGCTGGCGAGGGGGTTGGGTGGGGGAAAGTCAGGGCTACAGTGAGGCATGTGCATTACCCCTGAACACTGTCAGAGAGGCGGAAGACAGCCTCTTTCAGGAGCACCTTGGCAAGAAGTGGCCCCAGTTAGTCTGGTAGCAAAGCCCACTAAAGAGGGACCTCTGTGATGCCTCCTGTGGTGGTGGTCCCATTCTTCCACTCTGGTTCTCAGTCTGTGGCTGGCAACCAACTCAGCTTCCTCCCTGGCTCTGGGAGACAGCATTGCACAGAGGAAAACATAATGGCTGTTAAGGCAGAAGACCTGAATTCGGGTAACTTATATGTGTTAGTGCAACTTTGCCTTCTCTTATCAAAGCAACCTGCATTTAAGATCTGACTCCACATCCTAGCCAGTTGTCTTAAGGCAGCTTATTCTACATTCCTGAGCCTATTTCCCCATCTCAAAATGAAAATGGCAGTAATACCCACCCCCACGGCTGTTGTAAGCTTAAATAAGATGGTGTATGTTAGGTACTCAGCATAGTGCAGGTACACATACATAGTTAAAAGTCCCTGCCACAGTAGGCAGTTAATTGTTGTTCTCTTCATATCTCTTGTCTACCACCAGATAGGGAAAAATAAAGTTTTTCAAGGGTCTTTGTAATCTCTGAAGTGTCTTGAATACCTTAGGTTCTTGGCCATATTTGCTGAAAGACAGGAACTTTTTTGCCCTTCTACAAAGCAAACCATCCATAAACGGGTTGCTCTTATCCACCATAAGTAATTTTTTTTATGACTTTCAAACGGAACCAGAAAGACTTCTATATACTTGTTGAAGAGGCTTGGTCTCTGGGGGTTACTCTTAGACCCCAAGTTAGGAGAGATGTGGTACAAGAGGGTGCTTTCTGTGAAGGGACTGAGCCCACAGCCAGATCAGGAAGGACTTGGGAGGGAGCCAGAGCATGGAAATTGGAGGCCAAGAGAGAACAGTGTACAGTCTGTCCCTGATGCTGTGATAAGAAAGAGAGAAGTGAGGTAGGAGCAGAGGAAGCACCGAAATCAAAGGCAATCCTGAGTTTGGAATTACTTGGACCAGCTTTCCTGGAAAACGAGCTGGGTGAGAGAGAACTGGGAGAACGCTGGGGAACCAATTCTCTCTAACAAACAAACAAATCTTTCTGTTTCCTTTGAAAGTGATCAAGACAATTACTTAGGGTGGAGAAGAGCAACCTCTTTATGGATGGTTTGCTTAGTAGAAGGGGAGAAAATTCTTGTCTTTCAGAGAATGTGGGCAAGGTCTTGGCAGTAAGAGAGGAAGCCAAAATAATCTGCTGGAATTGGAAAATAAGGAAGTCTGTTTGTAACAGCCCCTTGTTGAAATAGAAAGGAAAAAGACTAAGGAATTTGAACCTACACCATTCAGGATTCTTTAGCTGCAAGCAACAGAAACCTGCTTCAGTTATCTTAAGTCTAGGAGGAGTTTATTAGAAGAATATGATCAGGTGGTTTACAGATTTGAAGGGAATGCTGGGAAAACAGACTCAAAAAGGTTAGGACCAGGACAGGGTTGGGAGCACAGGTAGTGGGAAGTAATTGAGAGTCTCCGCAGGGCTCTGCTGCCAGAACCACTGGACTTCAATCTTTTTATCACTTCTGCTTAAGGGTAAAACAGCCAAAGTTGCTGAAATTGAGTAGTGCAACCACTTCTTGGCCAGGGTAGGGCCAGCAGGATAACCTGACCTGATGTAAGCTCTCCCAGCGCCCCACATCATGACTGGGAGGTTAAGTAGTAAAAGAGACATCAGAGTGCTTTGGGTAACAAAAGAAGAGATAGGCTGCTATGAAGACCCCAAACATCAAATGTCCATGATATGAGGGAAGCAAGCAGCCCAGGGAATTTACACCTGACCCAGTGCCTCTGTAAGATTCTTGGCTTTGAGAGACAGTGAAGGGAGAAATACATAAACGTCAAGAAATAGCGGGAAGCTCTGAAGAGTACTGGACGGGAAGGCATAGACTGCTGAATAAAATCATTGCTCATGCTGGGGTTGGTATAGTGCTGGAGCCCAGTGGACATGTTATGGACCTCATGCAGCTATGAGTTGTGTTAGGAACTATATGGTAAGGGAAGCTAGTGCAAGTGGTTGTTAAGGATGTCCCTAAATGTTTATAAAATACCTCTGAGGGATGGAAGTGGGTGCCGGTGGAGGAGGAAGAGACATTAGGTGCCAGGGAAATGATCAAGTTGACTGTGGTTTTCTCAGAAGCTTTTTTAGCCATATGTCCATGTGAGAAAGGAGTATGTACTTTGACCAAGCTCTCAAACTAATGTGTGTATTCCTATTTGCGGGATATTTAAAAGTTATGTCCTCTGTCTTTTCTCAGTCATCAAAGAGAAAATGCAGAGAATAAGGACTATGCAGTATTTACGAACACCTTGAGCCTGATAATGAAGAACTCACCATTCTGTGATAATGGGAATTCACCCGTAAAGCACTCAGACATTAATATGTGTGCCTGAAGACAGCCCTGAAAATTAGCACTCTTTCATGAGACTAGCAGTAAATTGAGGGGGAAAGGGGGCAATGCTAAAAGAAATAAAAATGAAAATCTGAACATACATTGAAACTACACTACTTCACACATCTAAGTATTGGTTTAATTGAGAAGATTGTAAATTTGTAGGGGGTCATAGAGTTGATTATGAACTTGGGAATCATGGGGAGAGCCACCCTCAATCCCCAGCTGCCCTAATTTCCGACTCAGCAGTCATCCCAGGTGCCAGACAAATTCGAAATTTCTGCCCCAGAGATTAGAAACCAAATGCCAAGCTGGTCACCTCCCCTCCGTGCCTCCCTTTACCAGGATACAAGGAGCTCAGTCGTCTGAGGAGGGACAAAGGGGTATTGTTAAAGCAAGCCTGGTTATGAGAATGCTTTGCAACTAAAAGCTTTTATGTTGCTATCTAAGCCATTCTGCCTGGGGGGACACTGCGTGCCTGTCCCAACTTCACTATATCAGTTCAAAGAGAAATTTCAGCCAGATGCGGTGATTGCAGAAGGTTATCTTAGGCTTGGCAACATTACAATAGGCTAAGAATTTCTATCACAACCTCTCATCCAAGTCCTAATTCCTGGCCCCACTAGGTCCTGGGATGGGTTAGAGTGGAGAAAATCTTTCTTTTTGTAGATATAAGTCAAAAGGTTTCTCCCATAGGAGCTGGCTGAGCGCAGCACAGGGCTAGGGGTGGGTTTGGGAGTGAGGGTTGCCATCACTCGGGGTAGGATAAAACCTGTTTTGATTCTTTCTATGCTCCTTGTCTTGGCCCTTCTAGGAGAATTCTACCACCTTCAGGGAAGGCTGCGTAAGC